TACATGAAGGCTCAGGGTCGTCAGAGCAGGTCCTGGGCTCTTATGTCCTCTTCTCTCTGGGTGGGTCCAGCAACCACTGGCTGAAAAGAGATTGAGTTCTCCAGGAAGAAGACACAGGAGTGTAAGACAGATGTTCAGAGCTGCAATTTCCTTTGTCTCCTTGGGCAGAGGCACCTGCTTTTTGTTGAGTCACACAGAGAATGACCTCCAGTTGCACTGGTTTTGCTGAACAATTATGGAATTCTTATGCAAGAGAAAATACAGTATCAGACCAATGAAAAAGGCTCTGCGCAGTGTGTATCTCTCTCTTTCCCTCACTAAGCTGCAGGTGTTTTGTGTAATCATAGAATCACAGGATGGTTTGGGTTGGAAGGGATCTTAAATCTCACCCAGTTCTAACCCCCTTCCACTAGACAGGTTGCTCCAAGCCCTGTCCAGCCTGGCCTTGAACACTGCCAGGGATGGGGCAGCCACAGCTTCTCTGGGCAACCCCTGCCAGTGCCTCACCACCCTCACGGGGAAGAATTTCTGCCTAACATCTGATCTAAATCCCGCCTTTTTCAGCATAAAGCCAATCCTCCTTGTCCTGTCCCCACATGCCCTGTAAAAAGTCCCCCTCCAGATTTCCTGTAGGCCCCTTTAGCTACTGGAAGGGTGCTACAGGGTCTTCATGGAGCCTTCTCTTCTCCAGGCAGAAGAACTCCAACTCTCTCAGCCCCTCTTTACAGGAGAGGTGCTCCAACCCTCTGACCGTCTTTGTGACCCTCCTCTAGATGTACTCCCATGGGAGGAGCAATCCACACTGCCTTCCCCAGCCACTTCCTTATAAGCACTATGGGGACCTTATCTCCTCCCACAGTATGTAGGGGTTTTGTTTGGGCAGGACCAGAATCAAAAGATGTTGCTGTGACAGGGTACAGCCTTATGCAACTACTGCAGCAGAAGTTGCACCCACCCAATGACAGTAAATCCCTCAGAGAGAACCTGGCTACACAGTTCCATTGCAAACAGCCAAAGCTGTGGAGGGGACTGGCTATAGAAAACCAGTTCTAGGGGTATTATGAGTATTGGGGTTGAACTTTAAGGTCCCTTCCAACCTAAACCATTATATGATTCTATGATTTGTTTCCATGGTGGAAAGCCTTGCTCCAGAAAGTAACAGGAGCTTGTGCCAGGAGTCTCACCAAGGTCAGGCCATTCTCCAACCAAGTGTCAGGAGCTGTCCCCAGCAGCAAAATGACCGGGGCCTTCAGTGTCACCTCGAGGAAGAAATCTTTCTTCCCAACTTGGAGCTGATCCCAAGCTTACCTGATGCAGCAGCCTTCCTGGGAAGCTAAAGCCCAGTGGTTCCTGTAAGGACCTACCTGCCCAGGCCAAACCATGCTGCAGAAGGGGCAGGAAAGGGCAGGGCTGCTGCACATAAGGTCCCTTCCACAGGTGCGTTGCCTATTGAATTGCCTTCATGTCTGTCATGATTTAAGCCCAGCCGGCAACCCAGAACCGCGCAGCTGCTGGCTCACTCTGCCCCCTTCCTCCCACTGCTCCCAGAGGGATGGGGAGGAGAGTCAAAAGAATGTAACTCCTATGGGTTGAGATAAGATCAGTCCAGTAACTAAGGTATAACACAAATCACTGCTGCTACCACCAGTAATAATAATGATAAGGGAAATAGCAAGGGAAGAGAATACAACCGCTCACCAAGCAATACCCAGCCAGACCCTAGCAGTGATCTAGCCCTTCCAGGTAACTGCCCCCAGTTTATACAGTGGGCATGATGTGCTGTGGTATGGAATATCTCTTTGGTTAGTTTGGGTGTCCTGTCTCTGCTTCCTCCTGGCTTCCCCTGCTCCCTGGCAGAGCATGAGACTCAGAAAGTCCTTGGTCAGAGTAAACATTACTGAGCAGCAGCTAAAAACATCGGTGTTATCAGCGCTGTTCCCAGGCTGAAAGTCGAAAACATAGCACTGCACCAGCTACTAAGTAGGAGAAAAATAACTGTTACAGCTGAACCCAGGACAATGTCCTACTGCAGACCATATGCCACCATGAATCCCACCTTTTCTCCACTCATTACCACTTCCTGGGCCCTGTACTCCACTTCTGTTTGCCTTAGGAAACATCATCTGCCTAACCTTTCCCAGACAAACAGTGCCAACTCCTCACAGAACATTGGTGGGCATCTGGCTGTATGACTCTGTCCTACCTATAAAAGTGAATCCTCTCTCTGGCTCCCAAAGAGAGGGGAGAACCTGTAATGGAGGCAAGGTGATCAGGAGATTTGGCTTCCTAAGCTTATCAATGGGAGTAGTTCTCTGAATGGCTGTGGGTGGTGGCAAGAGCCGCTGAATCCCATAGCCCAGCAGAGGCAAGGCTGCTGCAGCTCTGTGTCCCCAGCTCCAGATGGTAGTGAGACTGAGCATGTATGTACAATATGTACATATATAGATGCATATGGAAGAAAAAGGAAGCACGAGTACAAGCAACCACACAGGTCAGCACAGACAGAAAGCACTGACACAAACACAAACAGCATGAGCAGCCTGATTCTGGATGAATGCCTGGTAGCAGAAAAAAATATGTGTTTACACATATACAATACAGACCTCTCCAACTGTAAAGGTTAGTTATTAATCCATACCAGATGACAGAGCTCTCTGGTAACATCACTGAGCCTGGCCCCATGGAGGCAGCAGACTTCCCTGTGAGTCAAGCCAGGTTGGGTTGACATACCAGCCCCCTGTTCCTCTCAGGATTGAGTCACCAATCACAACCACTCTTTTTTCCTAGTAGATTTGGTGTTCCAGAGTTTAAGGATTCCAGGTGAGAGAGATGAGACATGAATAGAGAACTCACAACCAGTTTATTAATATGGGAAAATATAGAGATACTAACAGATATAGTAAAAGATACTCATGATGTTTGGTTATCTCACCAACCCCAAGGACCCTATGATGATGATCAGAAAACCAGCTCCGAGGATTGTCATCGCAGTTCAAGGTGGCAGGCTCAAACTTAGCGGGTGTCCCTGTGGAGGCAACATTGACCTGCCTGGTCTTAAGGTCTGCCTCCCTGCATTGCATGAGGCTTGGGCTTTTATACTGACAAAAATGCCCACTCATTCTGACACAGGGGGCCAGCCTACGTCGGAAGAAGTGGCCAGCAATACCTAGAAAGGTCTCCAAGGGTTGGGACTTTTCTGGGGAGCAGCCAAAGCAGGACTCTCCAGGGAGGAGCCAAAGCGGACAAACATTACTGTTCTATCTTTGTGTGTTTCACCACGGACCACTATCTATTGTCCCTGACACATTTGGTCATGACACAAGGTCTGACTCACCCATGGCGACTCTTCTCACTTGGATGATCCCTTATCTACTTTGTCATATTCCTCGTCTTCCTGATCCTCAAGTACCAGGGCCTCAAATCTGTTGTGGAGGGGTACTTGGGAAGGTGACAAGCTGGGGGGTAATAAATATGCCATGTACTCTAAGGAGTAATCTGCTTCCAAGCTCCCCTGTATCTTAGGTCCCTGGTGACAAGATGGTAAGGGATCCTTAATTACTTTTGGCTCATGTGGCTGGCTTGCTTCTCTCAAGTACGGCTCCACCAGTCAATCTCCTCCTCAGATTCCCTTGGTCATTCCACCTCTCCGATGGCTCTGCCACCATGCAGAGCAAAGCATCAACCTGGTCACATCTTAGACAGCCACCATCTAACATCGCCAACAGGCTCTGGCACTCACAACAGCCAGACGCCTGGACAGCTACATGTTTATAAGGGACCCCTGTCTGGGTTGCCAAATCCTTTCTGAGAGAACTTCGCCTTCTTTGCCTTCTGCCGAGAGGACACCATCCTTGAGCACCTTCTCTATGACCACTGGCTGAGCTCACCTCTGAAGCTTGCTACCCATATAAACTGCTGCAAAAGCTGCCACACCATGCTCTGTTCACCCACTCTGTTCCCTGTGCTCCCCAGGTGGTGTTTTATCCACCCAGGAATGGTGCCTGATGTATTTCCCCTAGTTCATGTTCCATTGATCTTCTCTGTATCTATGCTGTGCTTGTTAACTTAGGTCTATATTGCAAGGGGGTGTGAAAGTAGATTGAAGAGTCTCCAGTGCCTCTTCTAGGACTGCACTTGTTATAACTGTCTTCAGTGGTTCAGGGGCAGGAATCCCTGACAGTTCTGTACTGCAAGGTACCACCCTGTTGCCACAGCACGCTGATCTGACACATATATTTGTGAAGTGAAATAACCAAGGGTCACTCATGAAGCTCTTCATGACTGGAGCAGATAGAAAACAGCTGAGAATCTTTACTCACAGAACTGTGGAAAGACCCACAGGAATACTGATACATGCTCTCCTCAAGCATGCTACTAGTGTTTATGGAGCAGGAAAGAGAAATAGGTTCCTGCCATTGTGGAAATGAAAGGTACTTGCAATGATTCTGGAGCTTCCCACTGAGAAGATAACATTTCCCATCACTGGTCCTAGCTGCCTGGCACCAGGACTACTAAGGAGGTTCTGTGCAGTCCAATGCAGAGTTTGGCTATTTTCACCACTTTGTGACTCTATCCCTGAGTGGGACAGAGCTATTTGTCATCTGAGCATTGTGAGCTCAGCTGTTGATTTCCTGGATGCAGTAGCTTGGTTTGTGATGCTGAAAAGAAAGTCATTTGCTTTCTCTCTGCTTTAGACCCTGTGCAAACACCAAAGTGAATTCATGTGAATTCATTGCACAGACCTTCATCTTTGTCAAATGGGCTGGAGAGCAGTGACTGGTAAAATAGGAATGTCAGTGTAAACAAGTGTGTGAATTGAATACCGGAAACTATCTGAGAGGGCATTTGCCCCAAATTCATTTGCCATGGAATTAGGAAAAGTCTTTTAAGAAAGACAATAATTGGTCCAAAACCAAAGTTTAGAAGAAGCAAGAACATTTTTAACAAAGAGAAAGAAGCAGGAAGGAAATGACAGTCAACCTGCAGCCTGTCTATGGCAGGGCATCCTCCCTGTTGAATACAGTGGGCAGCCTGCATTCCTGGCAGTAAGGGTGGAACATATACAGACCCACAAGTTCAGTATTCATATGTGACCTTGTGCTTTCTCACTGGCCTGTGGGTAAGCAGACTGTAGGAAGTGGCATGGATACCCATGTACCCTACACCTCCAGTAGGAAGCGCGTAAGAATAGGGAAATCACTGCTCTTAGAAAAGAGGAACATGGGAAGTTGCACAAGTAATCATGAGAATGTGTGTGTATGTGGGGTTTAGAGCTTTTGGGGATCAGTTACTTAAAGACGTTTACAAATTTGTATCTGTTTGTTGACATTTTGTGTCTGGTATTGTGCTTTATCTCGGTTGCTGATGCTGATCCTGAATATACAGGTTATGGTTTGCCGGTTAATTACATGTGATGAATTGATTGGTAAACTGCTTAGATCCATCCTGACTAGATTTAAACCACATGAACTAAGCACATTTTCCTTCTGACAGTTTTATACCCTCTTCACTTGACATACTGATCAGCCAAAGTCAGCTCCCTGCCTGTATGCACAAAATCAAGTGTATTTTAAAGCAATGGCAAATAAAAGGCATTCTCATTTTTTAACATCTGTGGTGCATTTCAGTGCTGTTCTCCAGCATGATGGCTGGGAACTTTTAAATATGTCATGTGAGGATCTCGCTGCGCTGTGAATCCAGTAGCTTGTGCCTTCTAGTAGCTTATAGTTTCTGTGACAGTACCAGCAAGCACATGTATGGGCCATCTTTCCAATGTAACATAGCTGTTGGATGGTTTGACCCTGCTTGCAGCCTGCTGTGCATGAAAAAAACATACTCAGAGAATATCTTCTACACACAATTTAGAGTTGTTCTCATTTGTAGCTGGTTTTGTGTCCTGCTCTTTTGAGACTTCAACTGATACACTTGTGCTATTGCATCCATTCCTTCCTCAGTACATCCATTCATGCCTTTTCATAGGGAGAAAGTGATGATGGAGCATGGAAAAGCAAAGGCTGTCTACCTACCTGTGTCCATTCAGAGTACGAGACCCAGTAGGGATTCTTTATCCTTACAGGTATTTATTTCTTAGGGACAAAACCTGCAAGGTTTTGAATCAAGTTGCCTTGAGCCGTGCTAGAACCGCTAGCTATGGCTATGCCTTTTGTTATTGTGACCATGTAAAACTTTGAGCTCTGTAATGCACAGGGATTCTGACACCACCTGCTGATCCTTTCTGACCTCCAGCTCCTTGGTGACAGGTCATATGCAATGCCTCCACTCAAAGCCCCATCCTCTTTTCCTGAGCAATTAGTTAACAACAGTGTTGTCAAGTTCTTCGTTGTGCTCTGGGTTACTGGGCTCAGACTTCACATAGGGACTTGCCCAGACTGAGTCACAGATATGTTTTCTTACCATGTTTTGACTCCCTTTTGCAGGACATTGTGAGTTGGTTTAGCCCCTTGCTACTGAATGCCAACAGCATAGGCCTTTTCGCACACATATTCACTTGCCAGGAAAGAACAAATAACAAAGGTGTAAGGCCAGTAGCATGTCCTGTGAAATGGCTTCAATATGTGCAAAAGACGGTCGTTTGAGCTGGGTTGGTACTACCCTTCATCTGTTTTCATTTCCCTCTGTAAGCTTCTGTGTTGCAAGGAACATCTTGTGAAACATCCTGGCAGAGAAACTACGACAATTCCCCCATCTCCATGTGCTGTGGGGAACACCCAGGCTACAGCTTTTTATGCGTACCGGATTAGAGGCTGTGAAGGCTCTTCACCAGTGTGTGGACTACCCTAATGCAGTCTTCTGTGCAGGAGGAAGGCCGTACTTGTGGCCACATGTAGACTCATGTAGACTCTTGAGGAAGAGTGATACCATGGTAGAGATAATGAATCACGACGGAAGAGTCAGTCCTGGAACTGCAGGTAACTACAAAGCCTTCCTTTCTGTCCTCCTATGGATGGAGGAGGTGAGAGACAAAGAGCTGGGATAGAGATAATGGGCATGGTACAGTGGCTGGCCTCAAAGCAACAGATGAGGGAACTGGGGAGCGCCCAGGCTGGGAGCAGTGACCTTTTTCCCAGAGCCAGGGGGAATGAAAGTCCAGGCAGACTATGGTCTGCCATCCTCTTCAGTGCTTTTTTCTGTAAATGATGGGACTGAAGAGTGCTATCGTATTATCATTATCCAGGTAGAACTATCTGCATCAAGGTAGGTACAAGTCACTGCTGCAATCCCTGGTGTCTCTAAGAGCCAAGTGAGGGCTTTCCCTGGAGCTTCAAAGTGGCTGTTTTCCCTGTGGAAACAATCTCTTCTGTGTGTCTGCCTCTGCAAACACTGAGCTGGACAGTCACTCCTTTGAGTGAATATATACTATTATGTAAAAGGCCTTGGGGAGAGAGTCAAAATAAAGCTGTCTGAGAAGCTCTAAAGAGAGATGAAGAAGAAGGAGGAACAGAAAGATCATCCAGTGCAAGAGAGAAGTAATGAGGGCAACAAGGAAGATGTGTTGAAGAAAAAGGAAATGCGACAGGACACAAGAAAAGAGGAGTGCAGTTTGGGAAGAGTACAGGTGGGACTGGTGACAAACAGGGAAATGAAAGAGCAGCTTCAGGGCAGTCACTGTGTTGCCCTACTCTGTGGGTCTGACCCACTGCTAATGATGAGCAACAGGACCTGGTTACAGCATCTGTGGGCTCCCCAGCATTGGAACAAGGATAGCAGCAGGTTGGGATATAGAGCCAACTGGGTTATCCTGCCCCTGACTCTGGGCTGGGGGATTCCCACTCACGGCTTGTGTTTTTCAGCCTCAGCAGAAGAGAGACGCTGCTCCCTGCTGAACCCCTGGGTCTTCATTGCTTCTGGCCTTGCCATCAAAACCGCCATTGTAACCATCTGCCTTGGTGGGTTCCAGGCCCTGCTAATTCCCCTGGGATGAAGGAGGCAGTTGACTACCTTTTGTCAGGTGGAAAACCAATACCCTAGCCTTTCTGCCTGCAGGCATTTATGCCCTTTGCCAAAGCAGCCTGTTCTGCTGCCCCACTCCCACCTCTGTCCTCTTACTCAGGGAGCAGGGTCCCTTCCACAGTTCAGGTTTATTCCCTGGCAGGGCCTTCCCACTGCTCCTCTCACTTTCCCTCCTGCCTTAATAAAGCCAGTCCTGGACAAAACCAGCTCCCACCAAGAGCTGAGAAGTCTCTTTAGTGTCAGGCGGTAACTGAGCAGGTTCCCTGAGGGCCAGCTCTTGGATGCTGGCTCTCCTGAGCTGTTCTCTCTCTCAGAGCTCCGTGTGACAATACTGAAACCAAGGAGCCAGTGTGATATTCTGGGAAATACTGGTACCAGGCTGCCCATATTTTAGCAGGGTGGGGGTGAATCCATCCAAATGCTCCAGCCACACTGCCTGACCGACTGAAAGGGAAATCCTGTGCTTGCACTGTCCTGGAGTTTCACTCTGCTCTGTGATGACTCCTCTGTGGTTTTTCTTAACTCCCTTAGGTGAAGCGTTAACGCTCAACAGCGTTAAGGCCTTCTTGATGAGGGTAAAAGCTCTAACGCTGCAGTGCTTGGGAAGATTTACCATGGAATTTGTATTAATATTCCACCATTATTAAGTTTATCCCATGACTTCTTTGACCCTTTAATGACCCTTTCATCCTCAAAGGATGTCTAAGCTGATTTTGTCAGCTGGGAAAATGAGTCTCTCAGCCAGCAGAGGGGAGAGGAGCTCATCCGGTCGATGCCCGCTCAAAGGAAGGAGTGACCACTAGAGGGAGAAACAGCCTGCTGTTCCTCATCTTCTTTCTTATCCGCTTTTCTCATCTCACTCAATACCCATTTCTGAGGCTGTTCACACGGAGTCTCCGTGGTACAGCCAGAAGGTGGAGGATAGGACAGGTTGCTCATGGATGAAGACAAAAAGATGACAGTATCACTTTCTTTCTCTTTCTTCTCTTCCCAGTTGTTTTCCTTCATGGAGACTATGGCCAGTACATGACTCTGGTCCAGAACGCTACAGAGTGGCGCTGCATCCCCAGCGTATCTGGAGGCATAGGTGAGTGATGCTAAGAGCTTCCTAAGCAACTCTAAGAAACTCACCAAAATTTACTCAGGTTTCAGTTAGCCTTTGAGTTTGGGAATGTGATTGTCAGGCAGAGCTGGACTGTTTTAAAGAAGGAAGCTTGAGAACTGAGGAAAGACAATGCTGTATTGCCAGTTTTCTTAGGATGCTATAGAAACCTGTTCTGGACCAGTGGAGGAGTGTGGCTTCTTCCAGACGTACTTCTGGCTACTCTTCCTCTCTTCTCCTCTCACTGGCCCTCACACAACTCCTCAACTGCTATTCCAGTTCACTGATCTAGCTGGAAGTGCTCCATCCCTTTGTAAGGGCTGATTCAATCCAGCTCCTCTCCTTGTGCTGGCTCACTGCCTGTTCACACAAGCATCATGTTCAGTGTGAGGGACAGAGTGGTAAGAGGATGTTGTTATGCAAGTTAGGGTTGGAATAGTTAGGGTTGGAACTAGATGATGTTAAGGTCCTTTCCAACCCTAACTATTCTATGACTCTGTGATTCTATGAAGTTAGAGTAATGGAGAGCTGGGCTGCAACCACACATGAAATGACAGCAATGGCAAGTGCTTGAATTCCTGCAGTGCGAATTCCCCAACTCAGTTTGGGATCCGTTCTCATGTAGCCTCATGATTTGAGAGAATATATCTGTGTATTTCTGATCCATGATGTAGCTTTCTGGAAATAAGGCAGATCTCTAGGAAAGCCTGCCTAGTCTAAGGAACTGTCTGGGGTGGCAAGGCTGTCAGAGCAGTTCATTGTACATGTCTGTCAGTCAGCATGAGTTGAGAGCTAAACACTTGGACAACACTTCTCTGATGGAAGTGTTCCTAGAGGAACATGAGCCAACTACTTCCCATCTTGCTTCCTCAAGAATGGTAAGGCAGAAACTGTGTCTCTCACCAATCAGAGGTTGCATGGACACTGCAGAACAGATAGAGAAAGGGAAAGACACTTCAGGCAGGGGACTTGAGACAGAAACCTCTCAGGCTGTTTATAACTTTAGATGTGGAGCATGGAAGAGAGCATTTACCCTCTGTCCAGACTAAAGGTGTGGTTCAAATGCCTCCCCCAGCATCTGGGACCCTTCATTGAGCTCATGGAGCTGAAGGACTTGGTTTGAAAGGTCCTGTTTGAAAGCAGGATTTTCTCCCCACAGAGGAGAGCTGGGCATGCTGCCCGAAGGGCTGGAAACACTTCGAAGGAAGCTGCTACTACCTCTCAGGTGATATGATGTCCTGGGCTGATAGCCAGCAGAACTGCACTGGGATGGGCTCTCACCTGGTGGTGATCAACAGCGAAGCAGAGCAGGTATGTGCAGGGCTGAGAGGGGGGCACAGCAGCCAGAGCCGCAATGCCAGCAAGGGAGGGGACTCAGTCCCTCTTTGTCCTGCAAGGGAGGGGGCATGGATGTCCTCTGTGCATCCCTTCAGCACCAGCTCCCTTCTGCCACCAGCCCCCTTCTGCTGCCAGCCCCACTCCACAGGGACTCCTGCCACCTCCCTCTGCTCAGTCCTGTATCTCATGCACATTGCACTCTCCCTCATTTCCAGGATTTCCTCTTCAACTTGGTGAAAGGAGTATTTTCTAACACCTATGAAACAAAATACTACATAGGCTTAACTGCTTACAAACCCGGGCAATGGCAGTGGGTGGATCAGACTCCATACGATATGACAACCACGTGAGTATCCTGGGGGAGTGAGGAAGGTTCCTGTATGTAATTCACAACCCTCAGTCTAAGTGACCAATACACTGTGTAAGGCAGGTATGTGCCAGAGGGGGATTTCTGTCTCCAACTGCATTGTAAGTCAGAAAACTCAACTACTTTTCCAGTCAAAACTATGACTCCTGATCTCTCTTACAGTAAACTTCCCCTTTCTCTTCCGCAACTGTTTGAGGTGACCTCACCCCCGCTGTCATGCATGCAAATACATTCCCAATAGAGGAACTTTCTTTTACAGGTTCTGGAAACCCGGGGAACCCAATTTACTCTTTGCAGAAAAATGTGCTGCAATTCACGTCAAGGGAAACAGAGACCCCAACACTTACAGTAACTGGAATAACGTCCTGTGCTTCACAAGTTGCTATCGAATTTGTGAACTGCCAGTCAAATCTGTCTGAGGAAGGAAACTCCACTTTGGTTGAAGGAGCTGAAGGAGCACCTTTGAGAAAGGGCAGCTCCAGCAATACCTGATGAAAAGCTGGCCTGAGCTCACACAAATGCTTCATCTTGCCATGCAGGGTGAACAAGCCTGCTACAGAATCTCAGATCTGATGGACATCAGTTCCCCTCCTGTGCCCCTGTGTCTCTTTCCAAGATGGAGATCAGTCCTGGATGAAAATGCTCAGGCTGATGTCAAGGACCTACTGTGACCCTTTTCGCGGTCCTCCTTCACAGATGAGTGCCCTGATCCTCCAGCACTTTCCTTGACTCCTGTCCAGTCAATGATGTGGAAAAGGCCCTCTCTGTTCCATGGAAGGATACTGGTCCTAAGAGTCACTGGAGCAGAATAGCATGCAGTGGAGCATGCTTGGCCCACCCCTGAAGGGATCAGTTATTCATGGTTCACCTTTAATGTTTCCTTCTTCCTTCAGCAGGCTCTGCATTGATAAGTTAAAAACCCCAGAGCAGTAAATGTTAAATCCGTTCAATGCACTAGGCTGTCTTCTGACAAGTCCCATCACTCTACCAACCTAGCCTTCTCCCTGCATGAGGGTTCTAACTTTTCAGTGTGTTTGATACCTCCAGGTGAGAATATTACTGTGAGTGTGCTGGAGTGTCCAGGAGCAGGAAAAATCCAGCGTTCATCTGCAGAGCATGTGAGAAAGGCTCTGAACACTTGTGGAGAATCAGGGAAGCAACAGAGCAGGCTGTTCAGTAGTCAGTGCCAACAACTTTTTGCTCAGCTTGTAGCAGAAAGGAGATGGATTTTGGAGATCTTACTGAGATATGTGGCAGGAGTAAGCTTGACAATGAGAGGGAGAGAAAGCAATCAAATATCACATGAAGGATAAAAGCCAGAGTTTCCCCAGGAGGGATTTATAACGTGAGAAAAAGGTAGAAGACCCCTGTAAGAGGCATTACTGTAAATCAAACACACAGAAGTCTTGAGCTTGCTCTGCTTCCCTCAAATTCCCCACACCTCTGTCTGTATATTCTTCCTTTTCATCAATGATATCCATGCTTCTTAAAGAGCTGGGAGTTTCCAGTTTGTGACTAAAAATACAACCTGAAAAATCAGTTGTGATTTATTATTTTTTAAATTCATCTAAAATCTGAGCACAAATTTGTGTCATCTTCATAAGAAGTGATTTGCCAGGTTTCTGTTTTAGCCACGGGACCAAAAGCTCGGCTTTTACAAGGTCTTGGCCTCCTATTTTCTAAAGTTGCTGGGATCTTTTCACAACGGAGCAAACTTTGTTGTCCTGTCCAACGTAGCAGCAAACAAAAACATTGCAATGGACTTCTCTTTTCAGTTTCCCCCAGCTCATTTATGGAAACCACAGCAGCAGGGTTTTGAGGAAGAAGAAAGGTTAGATAAGACACATAGTGATTAATGTATTACAGAAAATCTTAGAAGCAGCTGCAGTTCTAGCTCCTGGGAGGGCAGAGCAAAGCTCACACCATAAGACTGGTTTGCAAGAAAATGTAACTAGCTAGAAACAGTCTCCATGTCCCATATTTGGAACACAGTTGTTCCTGAGATGTCCTGACAAAAGAGGGATCTTGGGAGATGATACTGGGTTTGTCTGCAGAATCACTGAAGGGAAGTTCCTCCAGTTCCTGTTTGTTCCTGTATGCAGACACATGCACACACGCACAGAGTATGAACCCATTCTTTTACATTAGTTGTACAATACAGTAAATGCATGTCCCTTATTTGTGTGTCCACTGTTGAAGGATAGGTGGTGAAACTCTGGGTAAGAGTTTCAGTCGTGTGTCTGAGCAAAGTCCATCCCAATAGCAGCACTCAGGTTTTAGGCAGGGATGGACTCCACACACAGTACATGTTTGCACAGATGTAGAATAAAGCAAGAACCTTCCTCTTACTGTATTCTTCAATATGGACTTATCTGACAGATGTGCCTTTCTTCAGCTTATAAGAAGCATTAAGTCTCAAGTTTGTCTGGGTTCAAGATGCAGCATGTGTCACAGCAAGACGATACAGGACTGTATGTCAGGTATAGTGCTTTCAGAAAGCTTCAGAAGGGCAATCCCTGCATTGAGCCATGAGGTTGGCTGGAAAGGACAAAAGGTTTATCAGATTAGCATACTTCATGGTAACATCTGCAGTCCTTGTTTACAGGTGGGCACCCTGGCCACATCCCAACTGCCTGTTAGAGCAAGACTTAGATGCTCACCACTCCTTGGCACATTAACTTTTCCTTTGGAAAGGAACTCAATTCTGAGGATAGGAAAGGAGCTACAGTGACATTCACTTCTGAGGATACTTATACTGAAAACATGGTCTGACTGCAGAAAAAAAACAAAACTGTGGTGGTTCAAACTTGAGCTAGCTTCTGGTTTTCCTCAAGAAACCCTGTGATGCCCAGTCTTTGAGATGCTATTTTCAGCTGGGAAAACATCAGAAGAGCCATATTGGAAAGACATCCTATGAATATACCTCATTCCCCTGCATATTGCCTCTTTTTGCAGAGGAAAGCACAGCCAGTTCTCCCCACTCCCTCAATCTTGCTCTTCAAGCCTTAGAAATTCCCCGGTGGGAATCTTGTTATGGAGTAAGTGGAGCTATGCCCTGTTGGTTTTGTCCCACCTGCTCAGATACCAGCCCAGGTAGAAAGAGAAGTTGTTTTCCTTTCTGCTGCTGGCAAGCACTATGTCTATGGATGGCATCATCAGACATATCAAGGATGAGGGGATCATTAAGAGCAGCCAACATGGCTTTACCAAGGGGAAGTCATGTTTGACCAACCTTATAGCCTTCTATGAGCAAGTAACTAGGTGGATGGATGATGGTAAAGCGGTAGATGTGGTTTTTCCTATTTCAGTAAGGCATTTGATATTGTCTCCCACAGCATCCTCATAGATAAGCTAAGGAAGTGTGGGCTTGATGATCAGGTAGTGAGGTGGATCAAGAACTGGTTGAAAGGAAGAAGGCAGAGAGTTGTGGTCAATGGGGCGGAATCCAGCTGGAGGTCTGTGACTGGTGGAGTCCCTCAGGGGTCGGTGCTGGGACCAGTGCTGTTTAATATTTTCATCAACGGCCTGGATGAGGGAACTGAGTGTACCCTCAGCAAGTTTGCTGATGATACTAAACTGGGAGGAGTGGCTGACACACCAGAAGGCTGTGTTGCCATTCAGCGAGACCTGGACAGGCTGGAGAGCTGGGCAGGGAGAAACTTGATGAAATTCAACAAGGGCAAGTGTAGAGTGTTGCATATGGGGAAGAACAACACCATGTACCAGTACAGGTTGCGGGCTGACCTGCTGGACAGTAGTGAAGGGGAAAGGGACCTGGGGGTCCTGGTGGACAGGAGGATGACCATGAGCCAGCAATGTGCCCTTGTGGCCAAGAAGGCCAATGGCATCCTAGGGTGCATTAGAAAGGGTGTGGGTAGTAGGTCAAGAGAGGTTCTCCTCCCCCTCTACTCTGCCTCGGTGAGGCCGCATCTGGAATATTGTGTCCGGTTCTGGGCCCCTCAGTTCAAGAAGGACAGGGAATTGCTTGAAAGAGTCCAGCGCAGAGCTACAAAGATGATTAAGGGAATGGAACATCTCTCTTATGAGGAGAGGCTGAGGGAGCTGGGTCTCTTTAGCTTGGAGAAGAGGAGGCTGAGGGGTGACCTCATCAGTGTTTACAAATATGTAAAGGGTGAGTGTCAGGATGATGGAGCTAGGTTTTTTTCAGTGATGTCCAGTGATAGGACAAGGGGCAATGGGTGTAAACTGGAGCATAGGAGGTTCCATGTGAACATCAGGAAAAATTTCTTTACTGTGAGAGTGACAGAGCACGGGAACAGGTTGCCCAGGGGGGTTGTGGAGTCTCCTACATTGGAGATATTCAAGGCCCGCCTGGACAAGTTCCTGTGTGATGTACTCTAGGTTACCCTGCTCTTGCAGGGGGGTTGGACTAGATGATCTTTTGAGGTCCCTTCCAACCCTTAGGATTCTGTGATTCTGTGATGAGATGGAAAGAAACATCAGGCATTACCAGGGAAAGAAAGAGAAGCAAAAGTGGGAAAGAGACAGGACTGCATTCTGCTTTCAGAAAACATCTCAGCAAACTAGCTGAGGCCACAGAGTCTTACACAGTCTTCCATGCCAAGTTAATGCAGCAACACTTTCTGCTCTCTGCAGTTTGATATCCATTCAGAAGATATAGAAAAGGACAAGAAGAAGAAAAATAAAAGGAGAAAAAACCTTTTTCTGTTAACTTCTGTAGATAGCCCTGTGTGCTCTGTCAGTGCTATATGCAAAAGTGCCATGGGTCATCTCCCTCAGGAGGACCCTTGCTGATTCATCTTCTTTCTTTCTGTGCTGGCTGTTGGGAAGCCATTCTACTGCACAACACTGTTCACATAGTCAGAGAAGGAAGGAAAACTGAGGGTAGTGGGTAAGCTTGGGATGAGTGTGCTGAAGGACAGATCAATGTCGTCGTTTCCTCCTGCCTAAAAAGTGGCTGATGTGGAAGCCATATAATGTGGCTACACCACAGAGCCAAAGCATTATGAGTCATTCCAAAATTGAGAGACTGTTTCGTAGCTCTGAAAAGCAAGTGGTGGCTTCCTGTTTCTAGAGCGCTGTGGGTTTTGCTGAGGTTTCTGGCCATCCCTCCACAGCTACTGATATCACCAAAGAGTTATTAAAGTAAATGTAAGCAGTGGATGAAAACTGTCCAAGTAACAGACACTATCGCACTCTTAATGGGAGTGTATCAACCCTGCTCTTGGTAGTTCCAAACAATGGAGTTATTGATGACTTGTATCCACATGAGAACAAGCACTTCTACTTCCTCCACAAGCGTTCAAGTACCCTACAGAAAACAAACATAATTCCATGAGGGAAGCTCTTGTTTATGCCGAATCAATGCATGTACTGCAATTGCAACCCTGTTCTGCCCAAATGCCTACCCATGCCTGTGGACTAGGCTAGAAGTTCAGGCAGTTCTGGCAGGAAGCAGGCAGTATGTATCACTACAACAAGGCAGTCTGTGTAGTTCTAGCTCTCCTACAACTGATATGTAGCAAGGCAACCACAGAGCCGCCACTGCCATTTGCATTTCTTCTGGCAAAGCCATATGAGCAGAACATCCCATATTTCTGCTAGGCATGTGGGTTGACTGGTAGTAGAACACTGCGGGCTCCATGCAGGTGCAACAGTGCTGGCATGGTGTAGAGCACTGGGGACTTCAGTCATACTGGTGGTGTCCCAGAACAGCTGAGTTATTGAAGCCCATCTACCAAAGCAG